GGTTGGCCCACCAACGGGTTCGACAATCGCTCGGGCACTTTTAGAGTGAGGGGTGGAAAGGGATGGGCCCGCTAGCGGCCAGTACCCGGGCACATGAGCACCATGGGCGTCTCGGCCCATGTTTGAGCCTCGGGGGATTCGATCCATGGTTTTTCCTTGAAGAAAGGCAGAGAGCCCTCGGGACCGATCGAATGGACCTGAGAACTATATGGATTGACCGCTGAGAATCTGAAGTCGGTCACTAGCTGAACCAATCCAGCCCCCAACAAATGAGATGCCGGGGCCCCACTCAAACTAGCCTGTTAACAACTCACCGAGCACCATGGCTCGTCCATAGAGGAAAATCATGGCACAGCTCAGCCCCTCCATTTTTATCGAAAAAACGCTTGAGCAAAGATGATCACGAAGTCGAGCCGACCCTCGACCGGACCCCTGCTACGTGCCGGGGCTCGAGAAAAGTTGGACTCGCAAGGAGAACGAACGCACGGTCGCAGAACGATAGACCCCCGTAGGGGTCAAAATCAGGAAAGACCTTTTCTGACCCACCAAATCTCACAGCTATACCCCTAAGAGGCCCGATCATGATAAAGGAAATCGCCGTCTCCAGGACGCACCGTGGGCGACAAGAAAAGGCCAAGGCCCTCAGAGTCCTCCTGTTCGAAAAAGCATCTGAATGAGTATTCTACTCCTCTATAGGCTCAGGGGCTACTATCAAGGACCAATACTAGGGTACCAAAAGAGGAGGAGATAATGGCCATCAACATTGATTCAATCGAGCAGTCAAGAGCGCGCCTACAGCTCCAATCCACCACTAGGTGCGCGGGCTTTGCCTCGCCCGACCCCGAGGCCACGATCTCCGCCTCGCCCGACCCCAAGACCGTGGGCTTCACCTCACCAGACCCCTTAGGTGCGAGCCCCGTATCACCCTACCCCAAGACCATGGGCTCTGCCTCGCCAGACCCCTTGGGTGCAGGCTCCGTCTCGTCCGACGGGGACCCATACCGTCGCCAACCACTCCAAGTCCAAGCGTATGGGCCTGAGTCAAAACTCTGACACCAAGGAAGAGACCGGCACGCCCCGATGTAACTCGCGGCCACGATGGGCCATATCTAAAGATTCCAATCAAGAACAGCGTCGGACGTATCGATGTTGTTCTGCCTAACCCTCGTATGAACACGGACAGGCACATCAGTTCACCACGACGTCCGCCAGGACGGAGTGGAGCGCCATGACCAGCGGATGACGCCTGCGCATGGCGCCAGTGACGGACAGGACCGCGACGTGGAGCCGTCCCTATTGACATCTACAGGGTCGGCGGGACCCGCATGAAGGAGAAGAAGGGCCCGGTGATCCTGGAGGCCTTCCTCTCTCTAGTTCTTCTCCTTTTCCTCCGCTATAACTCACGCTTTTTCTTGTCCTATAAAAGGGAAAGCAGAGCACCCCATGAGGGGATCCCGGACGGATCGACCCATCAAGATCTGATACAGATCCACACAAGAGCACGACACGAACGCACAGCCGAGCAGCAATAGAGCTCTCAGCACCCACTCACTCCTTTCACCAGAGACTTGGGATCATTTCCCTCTCTCGCTCGTTTGTAACCCCTACTACAAACTTTCAGTGCTAGTAACACGAGCAGCAGCGATGAACTGGACGTAGAGACTTTCTGCCCGAACTAGTATAAACCTCGTGTCCTCTAAGCACACCATCCAAACTAAACGCGCAATACTAGAAATTTACTCGTCGGTGGTAACTCGAAACACCGACACAGGCGGTAAGACTCTACCTGTGCAATGCAAGCCTTACACTTATTTCTCTTTTGTTATTTCTGAAATTACAGATTAGCACTTGCTGATGAATTCTCGCTATTATATATTCCTATGTTTACTCAACATACTATCTTGGTGGATTGTCAGGGTGCCGTTCCATCTCCCCACACTGCATCCTCATGTTAAACATGCCACAACCTTGTATTTGTGAATGAAAAGATACATGGTAGTTTCAATTTCTTCCCAAAATTCCCTCTTCCAATGCGTGCCGAGTATATGCAGACTATCATTTGCAATAATCTGAATAGTGTCTGCCTGTCATATTTTAGGATACAAGATTGCTGAGATGATCAAGGTATGCTTCAACATTGCTGGTATGTGGTTTGGTTATCAACAGTGCAGGGACCATGGGGTAAGGACAAACTTTGGTAGCCAATGAGCCAAAAAAACTCCCTAATAATACTCCTGTTATGGCTACAAGGAACATATCAGGTTTTGTTCTGAATCGCATGTCTTTTGAAGCCTGATATTTTGCTATGGGAACTAAACAAATGGTCTCATGCTCTGTATATATCGTCAACTGATACAAATGCTCATTGTACTTAGGAATTGCAATCTCAATTGGACAGCCACGTTTTGTATGGTGCTAATCCAGGTACATCTCTCAATTTTAGATATGTAAAATCTGTAACTGCTAGGATATCAGCTTATAACACCACTGCAAGATCCATGTTTGTCCATATAATATCTGAACCTGGTATCATGCCAGTAGACATATAAAGTTTATCAACCAAACTGTCAATGTTGTGCTGCTGTTGTGATCTTTTCAACATATATCAGGGTCCTCGGATTTTTTTTTTGTGCATTCCTGAGCTAAAGCTATGGATTAGCTTCGTTCTTTGATTCCTATTATGTAGCTCAATTCTGCAGCCAGTTTTCATTTTGATGGCCAATTCCATTTTCTTTTAACTGCTCAGGTCTAGGCGCAGTTAGATTTCCACCTTCGGGGTGGTATATGATTCCAGCTTGTTGCTTTCCACTTGGTAACATTTTCATCATTTCCTAATATTGTGCGTTCAGATTAGATTCGTGAAATAAATTCACTAATCCAGTCACCTTCACAAGGTTACCAGTGTCCTACTATTTGGCTCATCAATCAAAGCAAAGCCTGCAACTTAATAAAATCAAGTGCAACAACTACGTTTACTGGTCAAGATCGTTACTAAGTCTCGTTTATTGTTCTGTGGACAAAAAAAAGGGTGTTGTGCCTGCACACAGTTTTTAAGGCTTTTGTGCTTTGAAATTGAGTTTTTCTCCTTTCAACCACAAAAGAAAAGTGCTTCTATGTTAAACCAATATAAATGGATGCATTGCTACCTAATGTTCCGAGGATGGAGGGTCCCTTTTCCACAAAGGTGTTGGTTCAAAAGGCGAACAGGGCAAGATAGTTGAACATGAATGTAACTTCCTTTTTTTTAGTCCCTACCTGCTTTGCAGTTGAGGTGCATTGCTTTTTAACATAGAACAGGTGCACTGATATGTGTTGTTTAATCCATTCCTACAGGATTTCATCCATCTATTCATTAGTAGTGGGTTCTTGATTGTATGCAGAGATAGTGGCATTACGGTTGTGGGCAGATCACAGCAAGAGCACAACTGATCCACCGAGCAACAAGATGATCATGTCTTCTTCTTTCACCTTAATCAAGGTTAGTGAACGTAGTAGCAGTTCCTTTGTGTTATAGCCTCCACTGTTAGTCTGCCTACAGTGTGCTCCTTATTACGTTGGAACCAACTTTGGAATTCTCAGCATGGACATTTTCTTAGAATAGTGATGGTTGTGCATATTATTTTAGGAAATTCACTCAAAGATAACAAACATGGTGACTGTGATTTTGACAGTACCTTGATCCTGCTTGAATGCATAGTCTTCATTTCAACTGATTACCTTGTGAACCAGGTTAAGCAATATTTATATTATTTCTAAATTAGTGCCTACCAGTTTCCGTTGAGTGCATCAAGTACTGTTGGTATGATTTTTAGGAAATTAAAATACTTGGATATTGTTCGGAGTTTCTTGAATACCCGCCGTATAAAGTAAAAAATGTTTCTTAAAAACTCATTCCATCTATTGTTTTGGTACATGGTTATCTCCCGCTTTCTTATATTGATTTATACTAATATTTATACTACTGTAGTCGTTCTTCTATTTATTATGCCCACGCCTCAAATACAATTCTGTTGAGTAATTGTTCTTCTATCTATTATGCGGCCAACAAAAAACTTCATTGCCCAGCATACGATGCACATGCCCACCACGCACAGAACTCAAATAGCAGCAGCTCATCGGGCCTTCTTCCTTTTCAAGTGTGGTGTTCAATTATTTCTTCCCAATGTTTGAAAAGAGCAGTGTATATACTTAACCACCGCGCTGTGTATTCTTCAAATCTGTAACTGCAGATGCGCGCGATGGCGCGCGCCCTGCACTAGTTCTCATTATATTGCGTTTGATCTTTCTCCCTCGATGAGTTGCTAGCTACTACTTTGCTTGGCCAAGGAAACGACGATCCAGCAAAAGACGACTTGCTTATACAATAATTGTTGTACTCATATATCCCGTACCAATATATATATATATACCGGTTGTTGTAAGCCCATGATGTAGTGGAGTTGGAGACAGTCGTTGTAAAACCCACATATATATATATATATATATATATATATATATATATATATATAATTGTTGTACTCATATACCGGTTGTTGTAAGCCCATGATACAGTGTATATATGTATATATATATATATACATATATATATATATATACATATATACCGGTTGTTGTAAAACCGGTATATATATATATATACCGATTCTTTCTTTTCCTCCTCCTCTCTAATATTTATATACTATAGCAAAAGTTCCCGTACGTTGCCACAGGAGAGACAAATAATTTTTCGTTACCTCATTTTGGTTCGTTACCTCATTTTGGTTCCTACCTAGTCTAGCAAAAATAGATTTAATATTATTATGGTTACGTGTCCCACATGTGAACATCTTTGCTGAAAGGCCGAGAAAGATATGAGTTTTCTTAGCGCACAATACCCCTTGTTTTATTTAGGTCTCACTTGGTTGAGCTCCCTCAAGTCGCCATGTGATACTAATATCAACCAAACAACCAAAATAAAATCAAACTGATTACACATCCTATTAGGATTTAAATGTGGCCCATTAAAAATATTTAGGACTTCTAAGTCTAAACGAAACAACCATCATACGTGGCTTAGCAGCAACACATAGTGTTCCTACATCAAACTCACTGGCTTGTTGGTTAGCTAGGTCATGAGGGACAGTAACCATATCACCAAACCGCTCATCTAAAGTATTGAGCCAGTAGAAGATTTTGGACTTAATTCGACCAGCAAAGTTGTTGATTGATATATCACAGGAGACGCCAAAGCGGTTGCTCACATATTGAAGGACTGGAACTCTTGCATGTGGAATGAACTGCATGTATCCAGTAACACCTGAATAAATAAAAGCAATAACACCAAGTGTAAATGAGAGAGTTTTATAATAGTTATTGAGATACACCAACAGTATTTGAGATACACCAACGATGGTTCGTATCATAGTGAATCAAGCAATAATGGAACAAAAATATCACTCTTTTGCGGTTTTGCCAGAAAATCTAGGATAGAACAAGTATATCATGATGGTTAAAGTTATTTCATGGATGCTGAATGTGCAGTATACCATAAATATTTATCTATCTTGGGAGCAATATAACAAAGATTACCTCGGCTTAGTAAAGCTTTCCTAACTTCTCTCAAGGCATTCTGCTTCTTTTTCTTGTTTATAGGGAGGTTTGAATCATTCCAGAGCTGAACTGATAGAGCTAAGTCCCCTGATTTTGAGTAAAGATCTGATACAAGGACCCAAAAGGTATCGAACATTTCCTGTCATTAAGATTACTGATGCATTGGTTAAGAATAGTACAAAGCGGGGGAAAAAATTTCTCAGCTTATTAACTCCATCATTTGCTGTTTGTGCAGCTCCATTCTAGAAATACAGACACCTACTACTGTAGCAGCTATCCCAGTACAGTAAGGGTAAGGATCGTACAGAGTTATAGCATGACAAAACAAACTGTTGCCTACTGCCATAGCTACTTGGCAATGCCAACATAGGATACAGTACTTGCAGGAATATCATTGTTTGCCACATTTCATGCAATTAAACCTACCCTTTTTAGAATTACGAATTTGATAGGCCGTGTTTCCATATTTGTATTGTCCAAACTATTCAGATGAACATGATCTGAACTTCACTTGAACAATGCTTACCACATATAGATTTTACTCTTTACTGTGTCGACGAATAACACAACAGAGATTGAGATATTAACTTCCACATATATATTCTACTGTGAATAATTGAATTTCTTTTAGTAATCTACCATGGAAATCCACTATACAACATGCACATGCAGGGAAAAACATTTATCTTCTATACTGCATGCAAGTATGCTCAAGCTACAGTGTCAAAAGTGGCATCATTGCACCTTAACTATATCAGGGTTATAGGTGTGAGTGTAAACACAATCGAGAAGGTTTCAGTTGTAACAGAAAAAAAATATAAGTTACCTGGCAAAGATGCAAGAGAATGGTACAATTTTCCAGCTCCTGAATTGTGGATAGTCACTTGCTTCTATCATCCTCTACTGGTTTGGTTAGTGCAAGGATGTCCTTGATACACTTGTTCAGCACAATATTTTCATGAACAGAATCAACCATGCTGAAATCCTGCGGCCGTCAAGTAACATGTATTTAACTAAAACAAGGAACAGAAATTGATGTCGCTTGGACAAGAGAAGGTTATTGGAAGATATAACCAAATTGCAGGAGATAGCGTAAGAAGGAAATGCGAGCCAGACAAAACGAAGACGAATCTAGAGGGAATCGGAGAGGATGTTACCGTTCTTCGTCATCTCGTTGAGGAAAGGCAGCAGGCGCCAGTACCCAAACGAGCGCGGGTCGCGGACGAGCTTGGACCGCGCGAGCACCTGATCCAGCGGGGAACCAAGGCAGATATCAGATGCTGAAATCACAGAGAGGCGATGCATGCAGGCACCAGACGAATCGAGAAACGAGCACCCGACTTACCAGTTTGCGGTCAAGGTCGTCCGCGCCCGCCGCCGTAGCCGACGCGGCCTCCGGAGGCGAGGCGTGCTCTCGACAGATCCAGGCTTCACGGGTGCGACGCACTCGGGGGAGGTGTCGAGGGAGCCGGCGGCGGGCGGGACAACGCGGCGGAGGTGGAGGTCCTTACAGAGATGGCGTCGACGCCGCTGTGGAGGAGGAGCGGCAGGGGATCGCAGGGGAAGGCAGATCGAGGGAGCGACGGGCGTCGGAATAAACGTTGCATAAAAAAATATCCACGCTTTTTTAGTTGTAGGAGATTATTTTGGTACATGGTTATCTCCCGCTTTCTTATATTGATTTATACTAATATTTATACTACTGTAGTCGTTCTTCTATTTATTATGCCCACGCCTCAAATACAATTCTGTTCAGTAATTGTTCCTCTATCTATTATGCAGCCAACAAAAAACTTCATTGCCCAGCATACGATGCACATGCCCACCACGCACAGAACTCAAATAGCAGCAGCTCATCGGGCCTTCTTCCCTTTCAAGTGTGGTGTTCAATTATTTCTTCCCAATGTTTGAAAAGAGCAGTGTATATACTTAACCACCGCGCTGTGTATTCTTCAAATCTGTAACTGCAGATGCGCGCGATGGCGCGCGCCCTGCACTAGTTCTCATTATATTGCGTTTGATCTTTCTCCCTCGATGAGTTGCTAGCTACTACTTTGCTTGGCCAAGGAAACGACGATCCAGCAAAAAACGACTTGCTTATACAATAATTGTTGTACTCATATATCCCGTACCAATATATATATATATATATACCGGTTGTTGTAAGCCCATGATGTAGTGGAGTTGGAGACAGTCGTCTTCCGCGAAATTAGACTCGTACTAATCTAATCACAAATATGGAGAACCTGACTTGCTTAGTTTCTTCTAGAAGTACTTGGTTCTGATCATCATCAGGGCTGGGAGTCTGAGAGCTCAAGTGACGCAAAGCATGCCGTGCAGTTTATGGCGTGTCACTGTCCACGGCACGCTACAGAGATCTGATTCGCTGATCTACCTGAGGCAAAGTTTGCCTGTTTTGCTCCAATACTGCACCTGGGACGCAGCTTGTCTTTGCATGCTTTTGCTTCCAGATTTGCCCGTGGCTTCATGGCTTCATTCGTAGTACTGCCCAAAAGAAGCGCCCGTCAGAGGTTCAGGATGAAACAGGCAGGCAGTACCTTGCCTAGTTGCCTCATGCAAAACACGATGCATTGTTTTTCCACTGCGAAAAAGTTTCTTTTTACAACATGGGGACAAGTATAATAAAAGAGATTGAAAATTAACAAACGCATCATTAGCCTGATGCAAATCACTGACCGCATCAGTCGGTCAGTCACAATCCGTGACCGATAACCGTAATTTCGCAGGCCATGCATGAATCTGGGCGAAATCGATCGAGATACTTCGTTTGTGTGGTCTGAATCTCGTTCTGATCGTTACTTGGCCCTGCCGGACTGAAACAACCTTCAGTGAAGATATTCGTATGCGGTGATAGATCGACCTGCAGATATTTCTGCGATCTTGTCTCGAGATTGCGATTGATGGCGAGGTCCAATAAGAGAACCTGTTGGTATATGTACTGCGCGTAATCATGCAGGACTCGATTGGCCGATCGATCGATCCATTCTTACTCCGCAAGCAAGTCTCAACGACGCCTCCCTCACATGATCACGTCGTCGCTAGCGCCGGAAAAGCTGCACTTCACCATCTCCACTGTCATGGACCGGTAGCAGTTACCGCCCTACTTACCGCGTGAACTGCTCCATCAAAGCGTGCCGGCCGGGCCTAGTTAAACTAGGCTCGTTTATACAGCGCGCGATCGAGGTTTGAACCAAAACCGTTCGAATTTGCTTGCAAATACATGCCTGGCATTGGTCATGTTGCGAAGTATAGAGATCACCAAGAAAAAAAAGAAAAAGAAAAATGTTGCGAAAGTTAATTTTCAGCCTGTTCGTTTCGGCTGGATTAGATTATAAGCCATGGGCTGAAGTACTGCTTGTTGATTTGGTGTGAGAGAAAAACACTGTTGACTATCTGATAAGTCAAGCCAGATACAGGCAGATACAACCTGCCGAACAGGCTATTTGGTATTGGAGCTCAAAATGGAACGTTACCAAGAGGTGGTTGAACCATAATGTGTGCTTGCATGGCTGGATCGACGAAAGTTTCCATTTGTACACGAAAAAACTCAAACAGCTCATTCAAAAATGCCATTTAACCGAAAATAAGTGTCAGCGCAAAATTTGTTGCCGTCCTTTTCTCATCCCTGCCACCGTACCCTCCCCCGTGACCGAAATCAATGTCTAATAATTACCCTTGCTGCCTTCCAGTTCAAAAAATCCACCGTTCGATTCGATGTCATACCCGGGTGTACAAGGAAGGTACGATCTCTCTCTCTACATATACGGCTCGTTACGTCGGCAGACGTCACGCAGCTGACCACGTCCGCATCCGCTACGCCAACGCAGCGACGGAGGGGAGGGATAAAAATCCGCCGCGGCCGCCTCCACCCACCTCGAAGCTCGCTTCTCCAAGTCCCCCCTTCGCCTTGCGAGGGGGCGGAGGGGAGGTGGGAGGGTATACAGCAGCAGTGCCCGTGGCCATGGAGAAGGCGGGGCAACGCCATCTTATCGGGGTCGGCGGCGGCGGCGGGAAGAAGGCGGGGCCTGCCGCGGCGCCCGCGCTGGGGCTGCAGAAGCAGAACTCGTGGTCGCCGGACATCGAGCGCGACGAGGCGTGGGAGCGCCGGCGCAGGGGCATGCGCCGGGGAGGCACGGCGCTGCGGCGCGTGCGGAGCGTCACGGACGACGACCTCGACGAGCTCCGCGGGTGCATCGATCTGGGGTTCGGCTTCGAGCCGGCCCCCGCCGGCGCCGGGTCCGGGTGCGCGGCGTGCGGCGGCGCCGGGAGGAACCGCCTCCTGGAGACGCTGCCCGCGCTCGACCTCTACTACGCCGTCCACGCCGGAGCGGGCGGTGGGGAGGGATTGACGTGCTCTTGCGGTGCCGCGTCGGAGGTCTCCTCCGAGGAGTCTCCGCTCGGCAGCCCCATGTCCATACTCTCTCCAGGTAATCTCCGGCGTGCTCGCATCTAATCTCAATCAACCTCTTATGTGTCGATCCAAATGCAACGGGATTCAGACGTGATTATAGTTTTGATCTCTCTCTGACCCGTTTGTTCATGCAGGCGACCCGCCGGAGACGGTAAAGATGCGGCTGAAGCAGTGGGCGCAGGTGGTTGCGCTGTCCATGCTGAGCCGCCACTGAGCTCTCCGGGGCGGCGGCGCCATGGCCGCCGCTACCTCCTACCTTTGGGAGGAGAGAAAATCAATCATTCGAGATGCAGAACATCCTTTGGGAGGAGAGAAAATCAATCATTCGAGATACAGAACATCCTTTGGGAGGAGAGAAAATCAATTATTCGAGATGCAGAACATCCCCAATCGCCGGTCGCCTGGTGGGGCGCCGCCTTCCACCTTGCTCATCCTACTGCTAATCAACTTTGTTTCAAACATATGCCTAATTACTTTGGTTAATTATTAATTCTCTTGCTTCCCTAATCCATATTAGCTTTTCATCTTCATGTATGTACATGATTCCTATCAAGAGGCAGATTAATTTTCATCATCCCAAATCATTAGTGCCCTGCTACACTGTGAATGACGACCATAGGTGAATACGCACACATGTTTTTCTCTCCGTTTTTTTAACAGATTGCTTCATAGTATATCCTTTCTCAGTTCCTCAACTTTGATACAAACCTGTGGTCAATTCAGAGTTGAAATCTGTTGTCAATCTAGAGTCTTGCAGATCAAGAGCAAGAGGAGATGAATTTTCATCAAAACCAACAGTGTGGGAATAACTTCCGTGTGGTTGGATCGGTTGGGAGAGTTGTCTTGGTTCTGCAGATCAAAAAATTTCATCAAAACCAGCAGAGGTGCAAAGAAATTCCTCCGTGTGGTTGATCGGTTGGGAAAATTGCGTTTAGGTTGTTGATGCAGCTGCCGCATCCCTGTGCTGCGCGTTGCGTTGCGTTGCAGAGAATTGTTTGTACGAGTGAGACGACAGGCTGTGGTCCCTCTGGACGAATGGGAAAGAGAAGAGGGTGTCTGGAGTTTGGCTGTCCCTCTCTGTCGTTTCGGCGCAGCGAAGCTGTCTTTTAGCTGCTGCGGCGCTCGTCTAGTCGTCTCCCTTCTTCGCTCCGCGCCATGCTCGCTGCCCATGTCACGTTGAGCTGCTGCCGGCTGCAACAGCCAACAGAGCAGGCAGGAGTGTGGGGGTGCGCACGGCAGCATCACGGTAGCCACTGGCCAGTAACGCACCTTGCTTGTGTAGGGTGATCTCCATCAATTGGTCCAATGGTTAATTGGACTCTTATTCGTGCTTTGGTCGGGGTGCTCAACTTTTCTACTGGTTGATGGACCCTCATCGCGTAGCGTTATAAAAGGACGTTGGGGGCTGGGGCACAAGATACGAGGTTCATCGTAGCCGTCAGCGTCCCACCATGTTCTAACCCTAGTCCCATCTAGAAGGGCGCGCTGTAAGCGACGGGAAGCGCCATCGCTTTTGCCACCGCCACTAGACCGCGTCTCCACGTCACTACTACCTCGGCGGCGGCGCCACGGCCGCGACTACGCTTGACGTGAGGTACATCACCAAGTCTCTCATTAAGCTAAGTATTACCCACAGATCTACGCCTAGAAGTACTTTCAGTTCTATCAATGGTACCAGAGCCATGGTTGCTAGTGGGTAGATCCAGCTTGGGGTAGAAAACATGAAAGAAATCAAGAAAGAAGTGATCCAAATCGGATCAGAAACCCCAACCCTAACCCTAATAGAGAGCTCGGCGAGGGGAGGGACCTACCTGGTTTTTCTCGTCGCCGTCAACACCGCCGTCGCGCGGAAAGAAGCTCCACCGCCGTCGAGCTGGCACGCGGGGACAAGCCGAGCCGCGCTCGTCGTCGTGCGAGCAAGCCCCGGCCGTGGGCACCGTCACAGGACCGCTCAATAGCGGCACGCTCACCCACTGGGGAGCGCGCGCTCCGGCGAGGGGACCCACGGCGGTGCCTCACTTCAATCTAGGGTTTAGGGCGAGCCCTCACTGCAGCGTGTATGGGGACGAAGAGCACCATTGCGGTGCCGCTCGACGGTGTTGCGCGCGGCTCCAGCCGCACGCATGCACCGGCGAAGGTGAAAGATCCTAATATGGCTAGATGGGGTGAATAGCATATTTAAAAATCTACAAACCAACTGGAGCAATTTGATTAGTATGACAAATAGCGAAAAACAAATTTGCTCTACCTCTACAAGAGTTGCAAGCCACTTATCCAACAATTCTAGTTGCTATGATCACTAGACACACAATTTACTAAGTCACTATTCACTAAGAGCTCTCACACTTGCTACACTAAAGAGCTTACTACAACTAGTTTGTGGGTATGTAAATGAGTAAGTAAGGTGATTATACCGCCGCGTAGAGGAGTAAACCAATCACAAGATGAATACTAACTCAATCACCGGAAGAATACCAAAGGGCAATAGACAACCAATTTTCTCCCAAGGTTCACGTGCTTGCCAACATGCTATGTCCCCGTTGTGTCGACCAAAACTTGGTGGTTCGGCGGCTAAGAGGTGTTGCACGAACCTCGTCCACACAATTGGACACCGTAAGAACCTACCCACAAGTGAGGTAACTCAATGACACAAGCAATCCACTAGGGTTACCTTTCGGCGCTCCGTCGGAGAAGGCACAAGTCCCCTCACAATCACCGGGAGATGGCCACGAGCAATCACCAACTCGTGCCAATCCTCCTTCGTTGCTCCAAGCCGTCTAGGTGGTGGCAACCACCAAGAGCAACAAGCGAATCCCGTAGCGAAACACGAACACCAAGTGCTTCTAGATGCAATCACTCAAGCAATGCACTTGGATTCTCTCCCAATCTCACAAAGATGATGAATCAATGATGAAGATGAGTAGGAAGGCTTTGGCTAAGCTCACAAGATTGCTATGTCAATGCAAATGGCCAAGAGAGTGAGCTAGAGCCGGCTAAACGATATTTATAGACACCCCAGACAATAGAGCCGTTGGCTCAATTATTGGGCTGGCTGTGGGACGACTGGACGCGCAGGTCGTGTGCACTGGACGCGTCCGATGTGCGACCGGACGTGTCCGGTCGCTGCATCCGGTCGCAGCCAGACCGCCATATGTCCGTTTTCAAATGTTTAACCATTCGTGCCCAACGGCTATCTCTGCGCACAGTAATATTATTGATCGGGCGCGCTGTTAGAAAATGACTGGACGCGGGAGACGCAGCATCCGGTTGAGTCCCCAGAGCTGCTCTGGGTTGACTAGACGCGTCCGGTCACACCGGACCAGACGCTCCCGGCATCCAATCAATTATAATGCTAAAATCCTGAGAGTTGCTAGTTCACACCGGACGCGTCCGGTGTGGCGATCGGACGTGTCCGGTCGCTGCGTCCGATCGCACTCTGCAATCCTGACTCGGCTATATCAATTTGATCGGACGCTGAACATTAACTCGTCAGCATCCAGTTACTCCACTGAGCCAGAGTCCGGTCACTTTCACTTAGTCGCTCACCTCGGGTCCAAATATCGGACGCGTCGGGTCACTCCTGGCAAACTACCCGAAGTCTGGATAACATACCGGACACGTCCAGTCACTCTATGACCAGCGCGACTAACTCCTTTTCAACTCTATCTTCTTCACCCTTGCTCAAATGTGCCAACCACTAAGTGTATCACCTTGTGCACATGTGTTAGCATATTTTCACAAATGTTTTCAAGGGTGTTAGCACTCCACTAGATCCTAAATGCATATGCAATGAGTTAGAGCATCTAGTGGCACTTTGATAACTGCATTTCGATACGAGTTTCACCCCTCTTAATAGTACGACTATCGATCCTAAATGTGATCACATTCACTAAGTGTCTCGATCACCAAAACAAAAAAGCTCCTATCAAGTTTCACCTTTGCCTTGAGCTTTTTATTTTTCTTTCTCCTTTTCCAAGTCCAAGCATTTGATCATCACCATCCCATCACCATCATCATGTCATGATCTTCATTTGCTTAATCACTTGGGGTAGTGCTACCTATCTCATAATCACTTTGATAAACTAAGTTAGCACTTAGGGTTTCATCAATTCATCAAAACCAAACTAGAGCTTTTAATCTCTCCCTTTTTGGTAATTGATGACAACCCTTATGCAAATATATGAATTGAAATTTAATTGAATCCATGTTGCTTGTCCAAGCATATTTACCATGTGTAAAAGGATATGGACAAGTTTCATGAACCCTAAATGGTAGCAATTGCCCCCCTACATATGTGCTAAGAGTTTGGATTGTAGCTTGCACATATGCTTAGATAGGAAATATAGGAGACAATGTCTACTAAATGATGCTAAGGTATAAGAAATGGACATTTAAAGCGTGATACCAATCGGAGTGCACCAATATACCATTCTTAGCACCATTAGTAACTAGATATACACAAAAACTAGAATACCCCATGAGATCAACATTAGAAGTAATGGTCTAGTTTCCATAAAATGAAAATAAGTCTAGTTACTTAACCTATGCATGCTAGTTTTTCATTTCATCATTCAATCCTACAACTAGCATACACCACACAAGCATGAATATTGAAATTTAAAACTTGTGCCATGCAAGCAAATATATGAAATACACATTTAAATGCAACATACAAGTTTATGAGCTTGCTCCCCCTACTAGTGTACAATTTTTATTGATCCCCTTACAATGTCATTTCATTTGTTTGCTCCGCCTATCTTACTATGTTTGTGAATTTCTCTCCCCCTTTGTAAACAATTAGCACAAAAAGACGAGCTCAAATTTTAGATAGATTGGGGTGAAACCATGTGAAGTGAGGATCATTTTCCCAATTTAGTTCAATCTAGATCACTTGCACAAGATATTTAACTCGGTTTGATCCAAGAAGAGACATGGCATATAAGTGGGGGGTGCATCAACACATATTTGAGAAGTCAAGTATGTTCAATTCATTCCCTAGCTTGCAAAACCTCTTCTCATCAAGTGGCTTGGTGAAGATATCGGCAAGTTGATCTTTGGTGCCTACATTTTCAATGCAAATGTCCCCTTTTTGTTGGTGATCTCTTATGAAATGATGGCAGACATCAATGTGCTTTGTTCTTGCATGTTGAACCGGATTGTTGGCTAACTTCATTGCACTCTCATTGTGTCGACATAGAATTTTCGTCCCGTGCC